AGAAAAAGCCAAATCTTTTCTCCGTGTAGATGGACAGTAGCTCGATTATTAAAATTGATAAACAAAGCTATCGACAAAGAAGTCAAAACGATTATGGAGGGATCATATTGGTTGAAACGGGTAGTTTTCATAGACAAAGGGGAAAATTTTGAACTAACTGTAGAGTCTCTCGCGGCGCGGGTTGCCGTTGGTCAGTCTATTACTTACCTCCTTTGTCCATCGCAACCACGGTTGGTCGCTAAATTCATTTACCAATGGTAATTTACCCATAATATTCAGAATTTTTCATTCCTCAGGGGGCGCAGTGGTGCACCCACTTCCACTAACAGGATCGCTTTATCTTCAGTGTGGCGACTTTGTCTATCAAAATTTCAATAAGCCGTCCGCTGGTACCGGTGGCTATTTCGAGGTTTTTGTTCGTGTATTTTTGTACAAATAGCCTCTATGGCTAAGAATAATGAACGGATAGAAGTCCTAGCCGACTGTGCGATGCGCGTCCATCTTCCTGGGCAGGAGCATATTGCCGTGCTAAGGAAAAACGTCGTATGAACATTCGAGAGTTGCCAAATTTCCTTCGACAAAATGTTTATTTTTGAGGAGAGTTATGAATACTTTTCCTTTAGATTTTCAGAATCCTTAGGCGATATTGGGAACAAAATTATCTGAAAAATTGGGAGGAAAATATTCATAAATTTCCCAGGAAATTCGTGTTTTATCGGAGGAAATTTGGCAACGCCTGAAGGTCCATACGGCGTTTTTCCTTAGCATAGGTCGAGGAAGGAAGATTCGGGTGGGCCAGGTCGGGCGCGTCCTCTAATTGTCGCGTCGGTCGCGGCCGAAAACCCGAGCGACTCCTCTCTCGAGTCCCGGCTGGAAATGTCAAATATTTAACGATCGGCCACCGACGCAATTAGACCGATACCGACATGGCGGATCTCACGAATAACCGAGCTGTTGCCGCCTTGGATCGTGAACATCTGAAGCGGATGCTCCGATCTCCAAGAGAACACGACACAGCCCCTGTTGAATCCATAGAGATTTCGATATCGCGATCGGTGTGGACATTTCTGGTGCATACAAGAGATGCGGCATACAATACAATAATTGCATACAATAATTTTCTGTAGATTACTTCTACAAAGAGAGGACGGATGTCTGTAATATTGGGTCATGGAGCTTTCAGGACTTAAAAGGGCAGCTAACTCATAGATTCAAATTATCCAGCCTGATTTAATATTTTAGTTTTTAAGATCCATCGTTTGTAAAGCACTTATTTGACTCATACTTTTTGCATGGATTTACTCATTTTTGCGGGAGACTGTGTGAAGACCCCAGGCCTGTGTTGCAAACGGATCGGACTAAACACTACTGAACAGTCAAATCATCCGATTTTTTATTTTTGGCGTACTTTTCTACCTTGGCGTTTGAGTCTCCGAGGTTATCTTATTCCTTTAAATGGCAGAATATTCTTTTAGTTGAAGCGTATGTACGGTAGCCTTTAGCATGATGGAACCAATAGCTATGTAAAGTGAGTCG